TTTACCCAAAACTAATCAAATCTGCGCATTAGTTCAGAGCATCCATGTGCCAAGTTTCATTGAAATCCAATGAGTCGTTCTTCAAAAATCAGTGGAACAGTCATAGAACAGCTTAAAATCAGTTAATTATCATGCAAATTAGGTAATTAATATTCATAGTTACCCAAAACTAATCAAATCTGCGCACTAGTTCAGAGCATTCATGTGCCAAATTTCATCAAAATCCAATGAGTGGTTTTTCAGATATCAGTGGAACAGTCTTGGAACAGCTAAAAATCAGCTAATTATCACGCAAATTAGGTAATTAATATTCATAGATTTTTACCAAAACCTAATCAACTCTGCACATTATCCCAGAGCATCTATGTACCAAGTTTCACCAAAATTTGATTAGTGGTTCTTGAGATAACGGTGGAACAAAAAAAGTGACATACATACATACATACAGACAGGGTAACTGCAAAGACTCCCTTTTGTGCTTCGCACACGGGAGTCAAAAACTTGTATTGAACTTAGTTTGTGTCAGAGTGAATTACTTCATTATGAGCTGTATTAAAATTCTGTTATTAAATGTTCAGAATTGATGTGTTACAATTTTAGGGGGTGGGGTCAAAATATATTCATTTGGCTTTTCTGAGACAATTTATAACTTGTTAAACATATAATGCGATGTGCACTTGTAAACAATTATTACCTGTCCCTGTACCAACTTTGAACAAAACTGGATGACACCTATCTGAGAAAAAGCTGTTAACAGCTAGAAAAAGCTTGTTTTTTTTTAGATTTTTGAGGGAAAAAATGGCCTCCAAGTCGTAAAACTTTATCCAATCAAACAGGTCATGAATGACAATCCTGTGTCAACAACTTTACTACATGTAGTTTGTGGCCCTGAATTAGTTTCAATATCTCTAAATAAGGACAAGAGTACTTCTCATATGACAATGATACAAATAAAGTGCAAGAATCCAGAAAAATATTATCAAGTTTTTATTATCATACATTACCATTAACAAATCGTGTGAATTTGAACTTTTATGTACAGAGAAACACATATTTATGCTTTGGTTGACAGCACTTCTCAAAAATAAAAAAGACGACCTGCAAAACTTAATACAATTGTCAGACATGCAGCGAATAGTATGCTTTTGTAATATATGCAGTTTCAGTGGCTTTGCTTTCCGAGAAAAAA